CTTTTTTTATCTTCACCAAAAGCTTCAGAATAAGGTTATAGAGAAAGCGAAGCAATATTTTAAGTTGTATTTTAAGTTCCCTGTTAACTAAATGAGAAATAGAAATTGCGCTGAGCAAAATTTCAGAGCCAGAGTTCCATCTCTGCAAGATCAGTTATGTTGAAGAAAGGTTCCAGAAGGCACTGCACTTCTGAAAATTCAGAGAGAATGGAAGAAAGGCCCCATATGTGAGTCCCTGACAAACCAATGTCTGTCCTCTTTGGCTGGTGACAGCAAAAGTGGAACTGAAATCTTTCACTATCAGGAGGGAGATGTCGTACCTCAATTTTTAATCAACACAAACCTTGAGTCAGATGTAACATTTAATGCAGAGAGTTGAACTTCAGTGTAACATTAATGTGGGTTCAGTAAAAATTAAGCTCTTTTCTAAAAGAAAAAAATCAAACATAGTGAGGAATAAAAAGCACATGAAGCTCAAAAACTACTTTACCGAACTTTAAAACGAAATCTCTGGAGAAAAACATTAAAACCATATGATAATTAAAATAAAAAGGTTGATTAATTAAATATGTAGAAAAGAATTCATATTCTCAAAGTAAGAAAACCAGGACTCATTCACATTTCAAAGTCTTTATGTTGTAGAAGATCTTAAATTGTTGATGCAGCAAAGCAAAATACAGCTTCTTGAAAAACAATTAATAATTCAAATTCATAGCAGCTTCCCCCAAGGAAATTTTCTATTAATTTGTAACTTGGCTTTGAATTTGACCTTGGCCTTCATGTCATGATAATTTGGGTCGCTCTGAATATGCCATCTCTTGGACAAGGGCCTCTGCTAATTTTAAATGAACACAGCTGCCAATTTGCCATTCTTCTATTTGCATCACAATATATGGGAATAAATTCACAATTAATAAAACATTTCCAGTAAGCAGTCAGCTTGAGGAAATTAAGGACATTTATCTAATAAGTTTAAAAAGATATGTTTCATTTTTGCCTTTTTGGACATAAAAAGGCAAAAGGAAACATTTTATGTCTTTGAGAGCTTCGATAGAGGCCAGAATTACTCCCTGCACAACAGCACCTAAAAAAGCCAAGCTGTAGATTTTAGTTTTAAAAAAGAAAAAGAAAAAAAGAAATTAAAAAAATTGAATGTATAAAAGTTTGTACCAGGCCTTAAAAATTTTCCTTCCTTCTCTCTCTTTTCTCCTTCCTTTCTGCAATACTTTTTCTCTGGTTCAATGAAAATTAATACTTCTCAAGTTTGATTCATGGAAAGGGCTTGTATTTGATAGTAAGTAGTAATCAAAACCTTTGGTGTTAAGCACCTTCGGGTCTTCATTACATTTTGCATCTGATGCTGTATAATTAATATATTGTCCAGATATTAGGAAACAAGGGTCCTACAGAGGAGTAGACCAGGAAAGTCAGGAGTCTGGAAGTGCTGTTGTCAGAGAAACGAATGAAGGAACTTAAAAGGAAGTTGGAGGAGTTAGGGAGGTATCAACAGATTGTTTTTTGAGCTTGCTGTTTTCACTGCGTAGAATGCTCCTTCTCCTACTTTCCACCTGTTGAAATTCTCCAAGGCCAGATTGGATAATCACCTACTGTAAGAAGTTTCTAGATCCTCTTGGTTAGGAACCATTTCCCTACTCAGAACCCCCCTAGTATTTGCTGTACCAGTGTTTTAATACTAGTGATATTCTAATTTATCTACATAAGCTTAGTCAGGGCCTTGAATGCTGCACTAAGGGGTTTAAAGGAACCATTACATTTCTGAGGGCTGGCATGATTTAAAGTATAAAAGGCAGACTAAGAAGGTAGTTCTGGAGCAAACAGAAGGGAAGGAGGGTGCATGAATCTCTGTCCCTCTGTCTATCTCTGTCTCTCTGTCCCTTAGCATATTACTGTGTGCCGGGTATTATGCATATCTGCATTATCCCATAAAACTTGGAAGCCAGGTTACTCTCCCATACAAGGTCATCAGGCAGCCTTCTTGTCCTCGCCACCCTCTTTAACTTCTGTTATTTGAGTGTAATTGCTCCATTGAAAAAGTGCTTTGAAGGCTCGGCAATGACCCACTACCTGCTACGTTTAGGGACTTGTCCCCTCAGTCCTCATTATGAGTCCACTAACTCTAAAAACTCACGAACTGATTACATTTTTATTGCTTACAGTTTAAAATTTCGAATGTATTTTTACCGTTGAAGCTTAAAACAAAGTTTAATTAGTTAAGGGTGGCTGTGGGTGGAGAATTAGAGATTCTGAAGGGTATTATAGAGCGCTTTAGACATGAAAGGCGGGTAACAATAGTTCTAAAGAGAACGGTCAAAGCCTGCAGATTTTTCTAACAGCTCTATTCTCATGCATGCACACCAGGGCTGGGGGCTAACTTTTCTGTTGTTTGTTTATAAAAGAAATCAAGAAAGGGAGCGGGCCTGCCTCTCTTTTGACCTAAGGGCAAGAGTGAGAGGCCTGATGGGATTAGGTGAGGGAGACCTTCCTCGCGCCCCCTGCCCAGCCCTGGCCCAGCGCTACCCACTTCTCCAAGGGGCGGGGCTCGCTAGGCGGCTAAGTGCGCGGGCGGTGGAGTGGGCGTGTCCCACGGGCGCGCGCGGGCGGCCAGGACCCCCTCCCCAGTCAAGGCCCGGCCGCCGTCTCCGCGCGGGCCGGGGCTCCTCTTGGAGTCAGGTCCTGAGGTCGAGGAGCGGAGTTGCTTGTGGCCCTAGTCCTGAAACTTCCCCCTCGTCCTTCTGGTGCTCCCAGGTCCCGCTGCAGCCCCTCGCCTGCCCGCGGCCCTCCCGTCCCCCTCCCTCTCCGGCCTCTCCCTTTCGCCGGAAGGCGCCGTTGAGTGCGGCCGGGCGGATTGAGTCAGCCCCGGGGCCCAGGCGGTTCCGCCAATGGGGCTGGACAGCGATTTCTGCGCTC